GGGGGTGTTGTTCAAATCTGATCCCCAAATTATTCCGGGGGCTCAGATTGGTGTGAATGGGACGAGAAGGTCACTTGAAATCGCCTTTTATCCGCTGGCTTTTTTTTCCTATGGATCAGCAACTTTCAATAGACATAATCTAATCGCTCTTAATGGAAATGCTATTCCTGAGAAATAGTGGATATATCGTTGAGCTTATACAGGCTACCGACGTATTTAACAGGCAACAAGAGTTCACAAAATAGCATGGTTATTAATTATTACTGGAAACTGAAAAGTGTCTCCCCCAAACAGGGAAGGTTTACATATCCGTTCAAAACAAACAATCTATTCATGCGTATTTCTGGTAGATAACTTAAATCGTGTTTCAATTAACCTGTTCATTTCTATATTATTTCATCATAATAGTACGTTTTTATATTTTTCTAACTTATTTACATAAGTTATATTTTGGCCCTCAATGGACTCTAGTTTAACTGTAAAATGGCATTACCCCACAGTGCGAATCATCTTAGTTTGTATGGAGATATCATTGTCTATTCCCTCGTTATTTTTAATATTGCTTCGCCTCTCAAGAGATTTGAGATCCTTCAGTTTTAGACGTGATGAATGAATGTCTCTTTCCAGGATTTTTGCATCCCAGACTATAATTGAGGACAATAACTGCAATGACTTTCCCAATTAGGCTTGAGGTTGGAGTTAAGTTAGAGGGACTGTCAGTTTAAGCTATGGGCAATGGCTTTATTGCTCACTAACCATCATTTCTTTAGAGCCCATGTGCTAATTACTTTGGATGGTCCCAGAGACGGAGATTATAAATCCATTAGCACCCAAACCCTCGTGGTTCCACAGTGCAAACACTGTAATTTTGTACTACACCAAAAAACCAAACTTTAAGTACCAGAAGCGAGATGAAGGGAAACAGATTTTCAGCAGCGCGTGTAGATACTTCTAACATATCCACTGTGAAGGGAAGTCTAGCATATATCATCAGCAGCTAAACCGAAACACACACAGTAAACCAAGCAGAACTGAAAATTAACTGACAGGGGAAAAATGCCTAATCAGTGGCCGGTGGTTAAGTTTAAAACAACCTGTTTATATTACTGTGTCAACTTAATGCAGCATTGTGACCATAAATAATCAACACAACACACGTATACAACTGTGGTTTCTATTTTTCTGCAAGTTTGAAAAATATTTTTTTTCTCATTCCGAAGGTGCATGCGAAGTGTCCAGGGAGCGACGCAACCTAAAGGAGTAGAGTGAATTAAAAATAAGAAGACATAATACCCGTTTGACTGCGTTTAAAGTAGGCAATAGAAAAACCGTGACCCAAAAGGGGGTACGTGAAGGCATCACCCCCTTAAAGTAATTTATTTCAGGGAAACCGGAGGGCAAAGGTGGAATTCTTGAGAAATTCAACAAGGATAAGGGAGCTTTAAGAATTCTGCACGCAGATTACCTTTCATCCCATTCTCACATTATCCGACAACACACAGTAGAAATATAGCTCAGCGACAAAAGAGCGAGATTACCCTCCGACACAGAGGAGTGCAAAACATTTTTTTAAAGAATTATTGCGATTGTTAGGGGGGCGAACGATGAGAGCGAGAGAGAGAGAGAGAGCGAGAGAGAGAGAGAGAGAGAGGGGGCAGGAGAGAGAAAGAGGGGGAGTGAAGAGAAGAGTAATTCTCTGTGTGCTTTCAAAGGGGGAGACACAAAAAATGCTCGCCGTTCAGAAAGTGTCCTGTCATTGTGGTGGTGTTATAGTGGACGGTCAATCCAGCTAAAAAGAGTTTACCCGTAGATATTTGTGGTGAGTAAATTACCATAAAAAACAATATGAATCTGAGCAAAGATGAGTGAGGAACTAATTAGTTCTCTTTTGGTGACACACTTTGTTTACACTGTTGGTTCTGATGCCTGCAATGATTACTGACACAGGGTCAGAGTTGTTGCCCCTTTTGGTTTACCTTGTTTGGTTGTTTAACTTTTGGTTTGCAACTACAGTAAATGAGCGGCATCACATCACCACTGCATTATTTTTTTCTTCATTTCCCCCCCAAAAACCAACACACAGCAGGGGCTTAATTAGAAATGTAGTGTAGCTGAACCATCAACATGCTGGAGCTGAGAATGACTGAGCACACTGGTGCAGTCTCAGTATAGAGAAAACAGAAAATAATTTCCCCACAAACTCTCAGAGGCAGTTTGAGTGAAACACATATTTATTCATTTACATTTGGCAACCTTGAAAACATTTTATGTCATGAATTATACTGTGTGGGGCATGAAGCTGCAATCAAATTTTTACTTTAATTTCAACCCACATTCAAAACTGTGACATTGGATTTATTAACATTCTAAAACATAGCACAGATTAGCTCAAACAGCAACTGTATTTTTTAATATATCACACATTTATATTTGAAAACACTTTTAAAAATAATATTCAAACCAAAAATGCCCCTGTGTTTCTCACACCCACAAACATGGACAAATCCCACTTGACATTTTGTGTATTTTCATTTGAAAGGTGTGTGTCTGTTACACATGTGTGTAAAAAGACAGAGAAGTGAAGGTGGCCTGTGTTTAGTGTCCAGACCCGGCAGATTGTGACCTTATCAATGTGAAACTCTTAAGATAAATTATTCATAGCACCTGTTTGATGTCTCTGGCCAAAGAATGACAAAGGTGTAAGATTTAAGATCCATCTAAAAAGCCATGAATATCAGACGCTGTGCTACCTGTCTCTTTGTTAGAGCAGAAAAGAGGGAGTTAGGCTGCATTTTAAACCACAAAAATGAACAATTTGTCTCCTCACAGGGGGTGTAGAGGAGAGCGACCAGAGAACAGCATTATATACGATAGGTAAGTGTATTCTAATCTTCATTATCAGATATATATAAAAAAATAAAGTAGAAAATCAATTTATCATTTTCAGTGTGCAAGGTGTGGCTTCTGTCTTAATGTCATGTGACATCACAGGTGTCCAGTATTCAAGTGTGCCTGCTTTATCCTCACTTCAATGTGAAATTTGAAGCAGAGAGTTTGACTGATTTGGTGGAGCTAACCTTGCCCTTTTGTAACTGACTTTGTGTTGTGTCTCCTCGCAGGCTGAGAGCAACAGGGCGGCCGGGAGTTCGGAAACACAGCGGGACGTGTCGGTTTGGTGCAAGGACTGACACTGGGATGAGATGTAATTTATGGTGAGTGCTGTTTGATTATAGGACGGTGACGGGAATACCTGCTTAGTATGAGCGTTGGGATCTCTTGACATGACAGCCGTGCACTGACAGGCTTATTGTACTTAATCATAGATATGGTAAACATAACATTAACTTTAAATTTAGAATACAGTTCATGAGGCTGCTCTCACTGATTTGTATTGCTCAGTTCAGATTAGTTTTTTCCCACTAACTACATTACTGGAGTGTGTGTTTATCAAGTACTATCCCAAGCTTTTCTTCAAAAAAATGTATCCAAGCATCCTGGAACTCAAATTCTTTCTCAATGATTTGTTTTGGAAAAAGGCCATAGTATGCTTTTTGGGAAACTGGCAGCTGATGTTTTCATAGCCAGAGGTCAACATAACATGCAGTATTAATAAAACAAATAATGTTAGGATGGATATTAATGATGATATATACAGATGTACGGCACAGCTTGAATTATCTGTGAGTATGCTGAAGGAGAGCAAAGGAGAGACACTCTCACAGACACTCACAGATGTTTGTGTGTGTTTACTTGTCTGTGCGTGTGTGCGTGTGCGTGTGTGTGTGTGTGTGATAGCAGAGTCAGTTTCCCCTCAGATGTTCCCTTTGACCTTTGACCCCACAGTTGGGGTCAAGCCCTGACAAATGAGATAGTTGAGTTCTGTCCAGAACTGCAAACATTCCACAACAATCTTCTGTCCTCCTCCTCCCCTCTCCTCATATCCGTCATTCCTCACCCCTTTACTCCTCTTAAAATGTCTCCTTCACAACCTAGAGAGAGGCAGCGAAAGTTTTCATTACACACAAACATGTTTTATTGAATTTTCTGTGGAAATCTTAAAGCACACATCCTTCAAATTAAGAATAACGGAATCGGTTCAATTTTAAATCCCCAACATCTGCCTTGTTTGCAGATGGAGAGAAAAGCAAAAAGAGCATGATCAGAACAGAAGCTGTGTTTAAGATTTGGATATTACAACCCTGCACTTTGAAAGCACACTGTGTGTGTTTGGAAAGCTTGTCAGTGATGTCAAGAATGAGAAATGTTGCAGTGTGTTTTTTTACACACGTTGCTGCGCTCCAGCATTTCCGGCAACATTTCTCACTCTGCCTCCCTCACACCATCCGTTCTGCTGCAATATCCCCACATTTTTCCATCCTTTCACTTCTTCCCCTACCCTCCCTCCCTCCTCTCTGCTCTCTGACCACTCTTGCTGTCTTTACACTTCCTCTCTGCTGTACCACCCTGCCCAATCTCAGCTTCTCCCCACCTTTGCTCTCCTCGCTGCACACTCACTCCACCCCCCCCCCCCCCCCCCCCCCCCCCCCCTCCTTTTTTTCCTCCAACCACTATTTTCTCTGATTTTTTAACATGCCGTTCCACAGAATGCTACCACCTGTGTCTTTAGGGGGGAAAAGGGGGGTAATGGTATTCCTCTTCGGGAGGCTGGTTAAGGTAAGTGGCACCCTCTATTACAATGACAAGGCAAATGATGGTTCTGCTTGTTGTGTTTCTGCATTAACGTTTTGTTTTTCATGGAATGACCCCGACTTCCTAAGCATCACCACCCTCCATCAGAGCTCTAGCTACAAGTCACTGCTGTAAAAACACACAGTCACTATCGATGAACGTCAACAGAGCAACAACAGTGCCACAAAGGAGCCTGGAGACCAACAAAGCCGGATGGTACGAGTGGATCATGCTCTTGAACTTGCTTTCATAATGATGTAATATTACTAAAAGGCAATGCAACACAGAAACGATCTCAATAAAAACACATCAATCTCAATATATGTGCGTATGTGTTTGTTTTTTTTCTTCACTCCCAGTTGAATTGTGATATAATTTGATAACGGCTGCTATGTGATTCATTGGAGGGTACAGCTGCTTCACATGGATCTTGGCCTGGACAGGACTGTTTCCTCACAGGGCAGCTGATCACATGACTCAATCACACGGATAGATCCGAGCTCTAATTGGCCGTGCACTAGCGCATCGCTGTGGGGAATCTGGGTGCTTGTATACAGCTTTCTGCTTTGAATAGTAAAATGGTCGGTTGTGTTCTGTCTTCCTCGGCAAGAGGGCAGTGAGTTCCACGTACATCTGTGGGTGGGGGACTTCTAGACTAAGGGCTGCTGCTACAATGATGTACAATGCAAAATAATTTGTTATCACTAGGATAATGCGCACAAATCTGCAATTGAATGAAAAAAATGCAATGCCATAGCGAAGCTGTGCAGTTGGGATGGCAAGAAAGGAGTGGAATAAGTGGTTTCAATATATATGTACATTACTGATTTGTCTCTCTTTCTCCCTCCACCTCATGGCCCCCGTTTCTCCCTCCATTCATTCACATTCAAGTTATGTCCATGCATTAGTGACCAGTTGGCTCCTTGTGTGTCCATTGTAAATAAATAATAAAGCTCTCCTATCACTGTCATCACCGTCAGCCATCAGCTTGGTGTGGTTGAAGCAGGCAGCAAGCGACAGGCAACAGGGAAAATATGTGCAGGCGTATGTGTGTATCCATGGTGCAGTTCAGCTGATTGTGTTTATGTCCCTTTCCTCCTCCTCCTGCTCTGTATGTCCACAGGCAGCTCAAGGATGTAAAGGAAGGGCTCAGAGCCACTTGATTCCCTGCCACCACCCACTGTTGCCCCAGTATTACCAGAGCGTGGATGTCTGCCCCTGTCCCCCAGAGCCTTAGTCTTGCTCTTACCCACCCCTCTTCAACCACCACGCACCCACCAACCCAACCCACCCCACCCCCAGTCCCTCCACCTCCTTGCCTTGCTCCCTGATTCAGTGTGTAAAAGCGCCCCCTGAATGATGGATTACTGTGTCACCGCAGCCTGCGAAGGATTAATTTGTTTCATTGATTTCTCTTTAGGCAGAATGCCAGCGTCTGCCGCTTCCCACCTTTTCCCCAAGACTCGCAGCTGTAATAGACGGTAATGGCCTAAGACAAATCAACCCGTTTCTTGTAAAAATAGCACCAAATAACCCTCCCCATCCTCCAGCCTGCACTCTACTCACGTTGTGGAGTGGTGGCGGTGGGGTATCAGGGAGTGTTTGATTCATTCTCATTCTCCATCTCTATCAGGCAATCCGTCCATACCACCGTCCCTCCTTATCCTGTGCTGAGACAGAGGAGACCATCCAGTCACTCTAACAAAGCCATAAGTCTGCCGTACTTACAGCTCCCTCTCAGGCCTCACAATGGATGGGTAATGACAGTGCTGTCTGGAGGGGGCTGTGGGAGTTGGGCCATTCTCTCCAGTAATGGAAGCAGTTACTGCCATTCCCTATACACCTGCAGGAACAGCTAACTGTTAACCACTGTGATCTATGGCAAGGCCTTACCGTACTACTCTAAGGTTGAAGGGTTGTACAGGCATTGCTGAATTAAGGCACGTCTGCACAACACATGTTTTTTTCTGTCTTTGCCATGGTGGATGAAGTTTTTCTACTGTACGTTGAGAGCTATGGAAAAGCATTTGAGTTATTGATAAACAAATCTGTATCAATGAATCAGTGTTGGTGCAGCTCCAGCACTGCTGACTGACAATCCAGCATTCCTGACATTCACTGATTTAACGGTGACATAAGATGCTGCCACATCTTTACTACCCTGTCACTGCCTTGAACGATGGGAAACCCAAACTGCCTGTAACATTAAGCACACCACTACAGGCTGACTGTCCTCGGACGCTTTCCAATCCCACAGAGATTTACGAGCGGAACCAGATCCATTAATCCATTGTTGATTTGCTGTGGCTGCCCTACAGGGTTTTTGGGATCAGATATCATGCAGTGCTGAAACTCACCCCGTTGAGCAGCAATGCAGACTGTAACACCCTGACTGGTGTTAAAAATCCGGAACAAAGCATTAGGACGTTAAATCCAAGTCAGAATGTTTCAATTTATGTCATTAAGTTCATGGCACATTTGAAATTCCTGCCATCAGTCCTATCTCTCACAACCTGGCAGATATATATACATTTGACAGAAAACACTGTCACTTACATTAAAAATGATGACATAAACTGGAGTGACAATCCATAGAGGGTTCAATAAGAGTGAGTTAGAGCGAGTGCACAATGTGATAATGACCCAGGCTGCAGGGAAATCTCATCAGCTCCCTGCAATCAATTTAACAGTGTTTACAAAGCCATGGGCTGAGGTTTGTGCTTGGGGACCGAGTATTGTCACCTGGTGTTCCACTAGATCCCCCTGCTGAGCTGGCCTCTCCTGGGTAAACCTCTACAAAGCCCCCTCATGTCTGACACCACCAGGTCCTTCAAATACTGCTCTCAGACAGAGGATTAGGTAATCTCACCATGATACTGTCTTTTTCTCTATTTCTATCTTTTTTTCCACCCCTATTGTCACCCTTTCTCTACCCCTGCATTCTCATACCTTACATCCTCCCTCCCTCCCTCTGTCTCTGGCCTGTTGAAGTGCTTGTTCTACTCAGGGAACATCTATCCTCAGGAGTCCTTACATTCTTAAGTGCCGCCAGAAAAGGTTAGTTGGCAGGTAATTGTCCAGCTGTGGTTGGGCTTATCTTAATTGTGGGTGTTTTAGTGCAAGCTACACTTCCTTTGATGAAGAGATTTACAGTATCTAAATGAAGGGAGAAGATAGCAGGATGGTACGAGAAAAGGGTTGACCATTTTGAAGTGTATTTGAGTTTTCTTTCATGGGATTTAAAAATGTAAACCTTATTTGGATATGAAATAGTATTATTACTTTACACATATTTTTTGTCTTGATTCTCCCTAATTCCAAATTGTCATTTCAGTGCATCACTGGAGATGTTACATCATAGTTAAGTCACGCCAATTTCTATTTATACACCGCCAATTCATAACAGAGATTATGTCATGACACTTTTCAGAGCAGGTCAAGACCATATTTTTTATTTTATAACCAATTCAATATGTGTTTTGCCTTGTGATCCTAGACATGCATAGTGGAAAAAGCAATGCTGACCTCATGGTGTTAAAATCCAAATGACTAGGTCTTCTGCCACTCTAAATCTATACTTCCCTTAGCCATCTGATCATATATATATATATGCACATTGATAGGAAGCTTTAGGGGGGTTAGTGTTTGCATTGCCCCAGTCAAAGGTCATGACTAACCAATAAAATATATCCAAAGAACCATCAATAACTCCGACATGCAGACTAATACAGTATGGGATTGTGGGTAGGGGGAGGAAGCCTGCTGTGCTTGCTCTGAGCAGAATGGATGAACAAGAGGCCAAAAGGTTACTGGACAGACTTCGGCCCCTTGCCCCTGCACCCTCTCATATGTGCATTTGATAGCGACAGAGGCAATTATGAAGGTATACTTCAGACAGGTCAAATGGGAGAGGGCAAAGTGCAGAAGCTCTAAAGCACTGGCCGGAGTCAAAGGTTAGGATGGACATAGCCCATCATAGCGTGCCGTTGGGAAAGGGGTAATGGAATCAGAGCTATAAAGACACAGACTGATGAGGAGGAGAAAAGATCATATCTTCATTCATGTGATAGTTTAACAGAGAAAATTACAGAGAATGTGACAATATATGCTGTTTGGTTGGACTCCAGTAACTACTTGTTTTGTGTGTTTAAGTGGCGTGTGTGTTCATATACTGTATATTGTCTGACAAACCATCAGGCTTCATGGCTATTAAATATGAATAGTCCAAGGTCAGTGAAGGTCATGGCATGCATTTAGCACCAGTGACCGATGTCAAATGTAAAGGTCAAAGTGGAATTGCCTGAGTCGGAACAATGCAACGTTTGCTCATCCACATTTATGCATCACATTGGCAGTGATTTATGGAGGGAGATAAGCGTATGGATGGGAAGAAAACACTCTCTTTCTCCTATCCCGTCAGGCTCGGTAAATACACCACTCACTCAGATCAATCACTATGTCACAGTGAATCGCCACTGTATGCTTCCTGCTCAGATTGAAAACTGCCTTTGTCTTACGCCGCCTTCTCCCTCCAGCTCTGGGGAACACACTAGTGGCATTGTAGCTATTTCACAAGCTCTATATTAGCATTTCAAACAGCTATGGTACAAAAGTTGTGAGTATGTTCAAAGTCTACACTATTGATAGATTACATACTGTAGCAATTATACACTTTAGAAGTAAGGTCCTCAATTGATCGCAAAAAAACTGAGGAGAAAATAAAATGTTTTTTTATATTAAGTGACAAAATCCTCTTTTTAGATATTGTGTTCGCCTACCTCTATGTATTTCTAGGCCTTGTAGAGAGTGATGTTATTCTCTTTTCCATGCATTTGGTTTGCGTAAGAAAAATAGAAACCTCTACGCTGTTTTTCTACTTTCATCAGAATTCCAGGGCATTTAAAATAATTCAAGTTGGAGCAGATTTTATGGTTATAAAAAAACATCACTGCTGATTAAATTTAATGTCCCTTGCTCTGTCCTCTGCAGGACAACATTCCTGTGCTGCAGCCAGACGGGCTGCTCAGCATTGTGCCGGAGCAGCCGCTCAGGAGGGGTCTTGACTGGACCAGCTATTAACTCAACATCCTGGCTTTTAGCGTTTTGTAGGCCTCTTGAACATGGATATGTTACCCATGTCACTCTGGCTCCTTAAATGTGAAAACCAGCCTGTCACTGGTGCACCACAGCCTTTGCAAACTACCCCCAAGTGGCTTAGAATCCAGCCAGAGAAAAGTCCAAAAAGAAAACATTCTTTTGAACTGCCGGCCAAAGCGGAAACATGGTCTAGTAAGCTCCTTTTTAACTTGAACCATAAAGATCAAATCCTTTCCTCCAATAGTAATACATTTGCTCTTTTCCATTATTACACATACTATGTTTTTTCATGTAAGATCAAAGTGTGATAATGCGTGACACCATAAGTACCAGTGTATATTACCTGACACTTTCTGCTTGGTTCTCCATTAGTCTGTATTTCAGCTTGCAGGCAACTTAAATATGACAAAAAAACCTTTAACACCAGAAAAACTGCGGTAGGCAATGTATGGAATGTTTCTTCTCTGGAAATCGTATACATTTCATTGCAGCGACTGTAGAGGTCAGCTTTGAGGATCAGATTTTTACCATTTTAATACCAGCCATGACATTTCCCTACACTCTAACCATTTCACCATCTATCTGTCCCACCCTCCCTGTGAGAACAACAGTACTGAAGGCAGTTTATATACAGGACAAGTTCTGTATGATCTGTCACATTCATCTCTATTTCCCCCTTCACCACAGGGCATTTGAACCACATCAGAATCTATTACCACCATGCAGATTCAGCCCCTGCTGACAATACAAATCATGATAAGATGGAGCAGTGACTCCATAAACACCCTCACTTATATATCACATCATATGAGTTGGGCTGGATAGCAGATCCCACTTGTCTCCTCTATGTGATCGTATATTTATATGGATGGACTAAAGATGTCATTACATCTCTGTCTGTCTTTAACCTGTGCTTGTTACTACCCCATTCAAACAATAGATATAAATTGTTCTGTGCGTGTATGCGTTTGTGTTTATCTGCAGGCGCATCCATCACTTGGCAGTAGGAGTTCCAAATCAGCTGCTTGTGAGGAAAGATTTATGCTGTAATGAATCAAATCAACAGACCTTTACAGTAAAATATGATTTTATCAATAGGCCTGATCAATAGTGCATGCAAGACACAGTGTAATTATTACAGAGGTCTGTATCAATAAAACTGTCACGCATGACCTCCTGCCAAAGGCTATGGAGCTGCGAGTCACAGACAGTCGAAGAAAGGTTTGTTTCACGGCCCTGAGATGTTTGATTACCTGTATATAAGGTCATATCTGTGATGTACAGTAACTCATCAGGACATCCTGGATCAGATGAGAGTCAGGCAAGGAAAGTTTTTACAGCAGTGACAAACAACACATTCAAACCTAAATGTATATGATGCATTCTACTCACCAAATAATACTGTCTGTTTAAATACATGTGTACTGTCTTCATTGCACCTCTTGCAGACATTACAGATTATAACTGATAGAGACACGGATGGCTGTCTTTACTAGAGAGAGAATCATTTGTCCTGAAGCAAGGCAATCCAAGAGTGGAAGAAAGACTGTCAAAAAGAGCTTTGTATTACACTGTAGTGGGAGCACTCTGCATTAACACACACACACACACACACTCACACACACACATACAGTACGAGAGAGAGCGTGAGGCAGGGACCAATGAGGCAGTTTATATCGGGATTTTGTTTCACAGCCACGGCCTCCTGGGAGAGAGGGGTCTGCCAATAACACTTAAGAGACAGAGCAGGAAAAGTAAGTGCTTTTATTACAGCTCATCACTCATGTAATTTCTGGCAGCATTTGTGATTACAGATCAAGTGATTGACTAACTACACATTCGGCAGCTGAGTTATGAACCGGGTGCCTTCCATTTCAGCCCCGGCAGATTCTCCGTGTCAGCTGTAACTCATCCTCTCCCAGAGTGCTAAATCAAAGAGCACACTGCAGACGGAAGAGTTAAATAATAACTTGAGCTTTATTGTAAATCTTTCAGAGATTAAACCTGTGCGGACGTCGTCTTGGCCCTGATGTTGTACTGCATGGGGTGAAGAGGTGGTTGGAGGGGATCAATAGAGGGCCAGATGGAGATATTGATGGATGACAGGTAAGGTGGGTGAGAATGCGTGCGTGTGTTTGTGTACGGGTGTGTGAATGTAAGGTGACGTGTGTGTGTGTGTGTGTGTGTGTGTGTGTGTGTGAGGGGTGGGATTGAATCACCCTGGGTTAGGTTAGGTAGAGAGCACAGCTCAGGGTGTTTAATCGACAGGTCTCACCTTGAATCGATTAGCAGGAGTCTCACAGGGCAAAGACGTGATACACACAACCAACACTTTCTCACACACACCAAAACAACAATAGGGTGTCGGCAACAATAGGGTGGGCTGATGGAAGATGTCTCAATGGCATCAGAATTGCATGCCTGTATGTAGTCAGTGTTTAGTTTGGTAATGCAAAAGCTAATCTAAGCGTCAGTTTAAAAGCATTTTTGTTTTTTAAATCATCTCTTTTTGAGCAGGAATTCAAAACCCTTTAAAATACCTTTGTTTCAGTTCCCATATCAACATGAGTATCCTTTTTTTACCTTTGAACACTGGGATCAGGGTAACAAATAGCTTTGAGGTCCAGATATACTAATGTCAAAGTGTAATGATGACTGTGACGAAAGCAAACATGATTCATAACGATAACCATTTATTACAACATTACTAATACTAATATTACTTAGAAAAAAGTTTACTTATATTTTACTATATTTGTAAATGATGTGTCTAACCCAACAGCGCCAACATGTTACATGCCAAGTTATTTAAAAAAAGGTAATTTTTGTTATTATCAGAAAAAGACTAGAATTACTGCTGAGTGGTTATATGCCTCAGAGCTAGTAAAGTTAAAATTTACATCCATGTCTGTTAAAAACTTCATTATTTTATCTTATTAGACATTTGTGATAATTGTCATAATTAGCATATGAATACTTGTGGCAAAATACGTGTTTTGTGCCACAGTAACTTTTGACCACCAAATTCAACTCAGTTCAACCTTGAGCCCATGTCGAAGCTTTTGCCAAATTTAAAGACATGTCCTCAAGGCTTTCCTGAGATAATTTTGTTTCTTTGCAACAGTACAGACGTGCGGTCACAATGACCTTAACCCATGACCACCAAAATCTAATCAGTTCATCCTTATGTCCAAGTGGACCTTTGTGCCGAATTCTAAGAATGTGCCTGCAAGCATTTCCGAGATATCACGTGCATGAGAATGGGACGTTCGTAGGTAAGGACGGAAAGATGGACATACGTAAATATGGACAACCCAAACACATAATGCATCCGGCCATCGGCCTTCGCTGGCACGGAAGCATAAAAAAGTGAGTCACAGTATTGTATGTCATAAAAATGCCATAAAAAGTCATAACCCACTATATCCTAATTAAAAAAAAACCCTCAAAATATAATGTGTCATGAATAGTATTAGTTGTAGTTATTGTTGTAAGTTTTACATTTATTTGATGATTGTTGCTGTAGCAGTTGTTGTAGTGTATGTGAATATGATGTATATTCTTATGTCAACCCGCTCTTTTTTTCTCCACAGATGACTTCAGAGTTCTGGATCGAAACAGAGTTTTTTTTTACTTTCTACACTTTGTCCTACATTTATAATCCCATATTGATGACAGTATAACATGTTGAAAAAATGATTAGTGGTGTATGACAAAAAAGTAATGAAAAAGCCACAGTAGCGTATGTCTATAAAAATCATAAAAGGTTGTGGTAGAGTATTTCTTTTAAAAAGTCATAAAATGTAAAAATATAGTATGTCAAAAAAAAGTCAAAAAATCATAGTATAGTATGTCGAAAATAAGTTGTAGTATAGTATGTTAAAAAATGTCATAGAATGGTATGTTGCTTAAAAAGTCATAGTATATCATGTCTACAAAACGTTATAGTAAGTATGTCGACAAAAAGTGATAATATAGTATGTAGAAATAAAGTAATAGTAAAATATATCAAAAATAAGTCATAAAATGTCGAGATATAATATGTAAAAAAAGAAACATCATATTAAGTCATAGTATAGTATTTAAAAAAAAAGTCATAATATAGTCTGTCAAAAAAACTCATGAATGAAATAAAGGGTCATGAAAAGTCATAGTGTCGTAAGTCATAAGAAATCACATATAGTACGGCATAAAACAGTGAAAAGTAATAATGTAGCATAGCATAAAATGTCATAGTAGAGAATGTCAAAAAATAAGTCATAGTATAGTATGTCATAAAAAAGTCATAAAACGTCATAGTATAGTTAAGACAACAAAGTCACAAATTTATAGTACATAGTATGTCAAAGAAAGGCAAAGAATATTATGTCACAAAATATTTCATATAAAAGACATGGTATATTATGTCATAAAAATGTAATAAAAACTAAAAGTATGAGAAGTCACAAAAAAGTCACAGAAAATGTATAGTATATTATGTCATAAATTAGTCATAGGATGGTATTTCATACACATTGTATGCCTCAGCCAACCAGTCGTATTTTAGTTTTCACTAAATCCTCTTCATTTGTGTACATTGTCATAATGTCATAAGAATTCTTGAGATATGGCCAAAAACGTTTTTTTGTGAGGTCAGAGTGACCATCATTTTATCTTTGAGTCCAAGTGGACGTTTTTCCAAAATTGCCAGAGATATCCCGTTCACAGGATTGCAACGAACCAGTTTGCAAGGCTACAGTGCAAGGCTAATGAAGGACCTCTCTCTCAGACATGTACAAAAACAACAGAGCAAAGACACAGAAAAGCAGACTCAAAGGAAGTTCTGTTACCTGAAATAATCATACTTTACTTTGAGAAACCTCATCATATGGTATCTCTGCAACAACTCAATTTCCTCACACTCAAAAGAGACGTAGTAGGACATGACTCATACTGCAGAGGCAGCATGAAAACACTTCACTGTCTAACTGGAGGCCAAGATCTGAGGGGGTGTTTTGTCTTTAATATACAACATACCATAAGTATTAAAAATGAATGTGGCTCGGTAGTACGGGGGGAAAAACCCCTCATCCCTCTCAAGTTCTGTTGAAATGTACTGATTCAAGGAATTTGCAGCTCCGACACATAGCTTTGACTGTAAGACCAAACCCTAATGCTTTCCGATGAGGTCAAGGTTGATGAGTGTCGTTGACTGAGACGGTTTGTAAGAGGAGTATATTTGCCAAATCACAGTGTGGGGTAAAGCTGATGTGAAGTCTGTTTTCGAGAGCTCAATCAGGCTGTTTGTCAGTTCCCTTGGATCCAAAAGTATTTAGCTTTGTGTGTGGTCTCCAAAAAATCATTATCAGGCAGATAATGATAATAGAGTGCACAATTCTCTCTCTGTAGCAAGTCATTTCTGGAGACTTTTACATAAAAATGCTTTTTGACGCTGATGACATTATGAATGAGCTGTCTATTATTATAATGTACAAACATTTAAACATCAGATGAATTACACTGGTGCACAGAACTGGATCTGTGTATTCTTATGGATTCTTCTGAGGAGTGCCAAAAGAAGAAAGCAGTCTTCTGTGTGTAGGATAGTACTTAAATAGATCAGAAGAGGAAGGAGTTGGAGAAAGAGACGTTCCAACTTGTGGTCCCGGGGGAAAGGAAGGGGCTGACATTTGAGCTTGTTGTCCAGGGCTCAGATGGGGAGTTGAATTGTAAATCTGAGACTTGAGTTCAATGTGTTGTCTAATTCTTGAATTGTGACAAGAGGCTACGCTTTGATCCATTGGACAGCTTCCAGGAGGTCTGGGTTTTGGTGTGGGCCTGGGACTCTGCAAAATGTTTCGGTCACTTCCATATTTTTGGACCAATTCCATCAGATGTGTAGATCTCTCCTAGGGAGAAAAAGACAAAACAACACAGCCTACTTTGTCCTGAGAGTTTGCTTTTGTGTTGCTGAGGAAATGACCTGATGCTATACTATAGTAACAAACTTCAATACTCAGGGAGAAAATATATATATGATGTAGAAATATATAAAAAATAAAGACCTAATCTTCATGATTACCCAATATATTAGTGTTCTTTTGGAATACATTTCAGTGTTCTTCATTTGATCAGTCTCTAGAGAATAAGAGGACTTTTAACTTGTTGACTGCTTGCTTTGTTTGAAGATTACTGTTCTTACAGCAGTCCATTACTAAAGTCACACCTCAAGTCTGCCAACCAGTTAATGTATATATCTTCTTTACTCTAAGCTAAAGTGATTCAATACTGCCTCAAGTACAAAACCACTTAGCTCTCTAAGGCATGTTGTAAAATGGACATTCATAGTAAATATCAAAAAGGGGTTGAGGGCCAGCTGTTTCCATTCACTCTCTTCTGTCAAATATCTAATAAAAGCAAAAAATAATCTTTGAATTTTTACTTAGTGAGACAAAGGAGGTATTAGAAAAATAAAGATTTAGATTTGTTCTTTGTGATGAGCACATTAACACTCACCTTCCGAGCTTCGTCTAAAACTCTGCTGTGAGCTTGTTGACCTGTCGTTAGCCGGGGCAAGGCGGTGGCAGTGGACCTGCATTGCTCTCCCACTGACCTGGGTAAAAGATGCAAAGTTGTGAATACTACGTCTCTGCTTCCCCATGGTTCTTTCCTCAGCTCCAACTGCCTTGCTGTCCTCCATCTCTCCCTCTCATCCCGTCGGTCAGATTTGACTGATGTGTGGTCATTTCCTCTGCCGTCCATCCCTGTTGAAGACCTGGTGATGGCAAATGCTGAATCGTGTAACGCTTCATCTCCCCCAACTTGGTTTGGTTTTTCTTCAAGTCTTTCTTCTTCCTCTGCACTCTCACTCTCTTCATCTTTCTCCTGCTCCTTGGAGCCCTCTAGTCTCTCCAGTCTGTGAAGCAGCTTGTGCTGAACGTGCCTGGAGTCCTGTCAGGGCGATACACAATTTTTATACAGGATGTTCCTATTATGACACATGTAGCTTAAATGTACAGTCAAAGTAAATTGATAGGAAAACAGACAAGATTTCAAAGTAGGTATTTAGCTATTTCTTTTAACTCTTAACTGATTCTTTTTAAATGAAAATCCGAGATCCTTTACTTTGTTGGCAAACCTCTGCTTTACCAATAACTTTAAACTGAAATTGATGGAAATTGATGAAACATTCATGTTGACTGTGACTTAGTCATTGCGAGCAGATAGTGTGATTTACTCAGTTTTACCAGGGGCTGGAAGTGTGGGGAGGCGGTTATCCTCTACCAGGAGAGGAGAGATACGCCATAAAAAGCTATCAAAACCTTGCTCTGTTACAAAAAAATTGCTTCCTGGTAAGTGTTCTAATTTCTATGTTGTGCTAACATCAACCCCTGGTTAGTCAGTTTGGTTTTGTTTAGAGTTGGAAGGTGTGTGAAAACCATGGCTTTACTGTGACTGTGTGTCTGCTGGACTTAGTTGTTGTTGGTCAGTAAATCCCCCCCAAAGGATGTGTATGAATTACTTTTTGTTAAACCATGTAGTCTCCTTCAACATACAAATACAGGAGATGCAACATATCAGCGTTTAAATGTACCATTGGTAGAGCAGGTCTGAGAAACAAAATATAACGACTAATGTAACTATTTACTTTTGATCTTGAGTAATAAGTAAAGTAATGTAAATACTTTTCCATGAGTGATATTTGTTGAGTAATTGATTAAACCTTTCAAGTAACTTGCCCAACACTGGACTTACTGTATCCATTGTCGAAAATAGGGAAAGCCCATTTGACAATGTTAAAACATATCCACCCCAGTCTCCAGTAGAACAATAGTAATAATTCATGCATGTGTGTATATTCATGTTGCATTTCTGCATGTGTATATGTGTGTGGAGGTGAGAGAAATACCCTGGTATGGTTGCCTTCATCAGTGCACAGTGTAATTCTAATTGGCTTTATTAGGGGGCTTAAATTTAATACCACCTCTGAGTGCTGCAGGCTCTGTTGTGTGTGTGTGTGTGTGTGTGTGTGTGTGTGTGTGTGTGTGTGTGT